GTGCACCAGCAACCCCCCCTCCCTTCCCCAGTGCACCAGCAACCCCCCCTCCCTTCCCCAGTGCACCAGCAACCCCCCCTCCCTTCCCCAGTGCACCAGCAACCCCCCCTCCCTTCCCCAGTGCACCAGCACCCCCCCCTCCCTTCCCCAGTGTACCAGCAACTCCCCCTCCCTTCCCCAGTGCACCAGCACCCCCCCTCCCTTCCCCAGTGTACCAGCAACCCCCCCCTCCCTTCATCAGAGCACCAGTACCCCCGTCCCTCCCTTCCCCAGTGCACCAGCAACCCCCCCCTCCCTTCCCCAGTGTACCAGCAACCCCCCCTTCTCCAGTGCACCAGCCAACCCCCCCTCCCTTCCCCAGTGCACCAGCAACCCCCCCCCTTCCCCAGTGCACCAGCAACCCCCCCCTTCCCCAGTGCACCAGGAACCCCCCCTCCCTTCCCCAGTGCACCAGCAACCCCCCCCTCCCTTCCCCAGTGCACCAGCAACCCCCCCCTCCCTTCCCCAGTGTACCAGCAACCCCCCCTTCCCCAGTGCACCAGCAACCCCCCCCTTCCCCAGTGCACCAGCCACCCGCCCCCTTCCCCAATGCACCAGCCACCCCCCCCTCCCTTCCCCAGTGCACCAGCAACCCCCCCTTCCCCAGTGCACCAGCAACCCCCCCTTCCCCAGTGCACCAGCAACCCCCCCTTCCCCAGTGCACCATCAACCCCCCCCCTTCCCCAGTGCACCAGCCACCCCCCCCCTTCCCCAATGCACCAGCCACCCCCCCCCTCTCTTCCCCAGTGCACCAGCAACCCCCCCCTTCCCCAGTGCACCAGCAACCCCCCCCTCCCTTCCCCAGTGTACCAGCAACCCCCCCTCCCTTCCCCAGTGCACCAGCACCCCCCCTCCCTCCCTTCCCCAGTGCACCAGCAATCCGCCCCCTCCCTTCCCCAGTGTACCAGCAACCCCCCCCCCTCCCCTCACAAGTGTACCAGCAACCCCCCCCCCCCCCTCCCCTCGCAAGTGCACCAGCAACCCCCCCCCTCCCCTCGCAAGTGCACGAGCAACCCCCCCCCCCTCCCCTCGCAAGTGCACCAGCAACCCCCCCCCTCCCCTCGCAAGTGTACCAGCAACCCCCCCCCTCCCCTCGCAAGTGCACCAGCAACCCCCCCCCCCCCCTCCCCGCGCAAGTGTACCAGCAACCCCCCCCCCTCCCCTCGCAAGTGCACCAGCAACCCCCCCCCATCCCCTCCCAAGTGCACCAGCAACCCCCCCCCCCTCCCTTCGCAAGTGCACCAGCAACCCCCCCCTCCCCTCGCAAGTGCACCAGCAACCCCCCCCCCTCCCTTCCCCAGTGCACCAGCAACCCCCCCTCCCTTCCCCAGTGCACCAGCACCCCCCCTCCCTTCCCCAGTGTACCAGCAACCCCCCCCTCCCTTCATCAGAGCACCAGCACCCCCGTCCCTCCCTTCCCCAGTGCACCAGCAACCCCCCCCCCCCTCCCTTCCCCAGTGTACCAGCAACCACCCCCCTCCCTTCCCCAGTGCACCAGCAACCCCCCCTTCTCCAGTGCACCAGCCAACCCCCCCTCCCTTCCCCAGTGCACCAGCAACCCCCCCCCTTCCCCAGTGCACCAGCAACCCCCCCCTTCCCCAGTGCACCAGCAACCCCCCCCCTCCCTTCCCCAGTGCACCAGCAACCCCCCCTCCCTTCCCCAGTGCACCAGCACCCCCCCTCCCTTCCCCAGTGTACCAGCAAACCCCCCTCCCTTCATCAGAGCACCAGCACCCCCGTCCCTCCCTTCCCCAGTGCACCAGCAACCCCCCCCCTCCCTTCCCCAGTGTACCAGCAACCACCCCCCTCCCTTCCCCAGTGCACCAGCAACCCCCCCTTCTCCAGTGCACCAGCCAACCCCCCCTCCCTTCCCCAGTTTACCAGCAACCCCCCCCTTCCCCAGTGCACCAGCAACCCCCCCTTCCCCAGTGCACCAGCAACCCCCCCTCCCTTCCCCAGTGCACCAGCAACCCCCCCCCTCCCTTCCCCAGTGCACCAGCAACCCCCCCCCTCCCTTCCCCAGTGTACCAGCAACCCCCCCTTCCCCAGTGCACCAGCAACCCCCCCCTTCCCCAGTGCACCAGCAACCCCCCCCTTCCCCAGTGCACCAGCCACCCGCCCCCTTCCCCAATGCACCAGCCACCCCCCCCCCTCCCTTCCCCAGTGCACCAGCAACCCCCCCCTTCCCCAGTGCACCAGCAACCCCCCCTTCCCCAGTGCACCATCAACCCCCCCCCCCTTCCCCAGTGCACCAGCCACCCCCCCCTTCCCCAATGCACCAGCCACCCCCCCCTCTCTTCCCCAGTGCACCAGCAACCCCCCCCTTCCCCAGTGCACCAGCAACCCCCCTCCCTTCCCCAGTGTACCAGCAACCCCCCCTCCCTTCCCCAGTGCACCAGCACCCCCCTCCCTCCCTTCCCCAGTGCACCAGCAATCCGCCCCCTCCCTTCCCCAGTGTACCAGCAACCCCCCCCCCCCCCTCCCCTCGCAAGTGTACCAGCAACCCCCCCCCCTCCCCTCGCAAGTGCACCAGCAACCCCCCCCCCCTCCCCTCGCAAGTGCACCAGCAACCCCCCCCCTCCCCTCGCAAGTGTACCAGCAACCCCCCCCCCCTGCCCTCGCAAGTGCACCAGCAACCCCCCCTCCCCGCGCAAGTGTACCAGCAACCCCCCCCCTCCCCTCGCAAGTGCACCAGCAACCCCCCCCCTCCCCGCGCAAGTGTACCAGCAACCCCCCTCCTCCCCTCGCAAGTGCACCAGCAACCCCCCCCTCCCCGCGCAAGTGTACCAGCAACCCCCCCTCCCCTCGCAAGTGCACCAGCAACCCCCCCCCCCCTCCCCGCGCAAGTGTACCAGCAACCCCCCCCCCCTCCCCTCGCAAGTGCACCAGCAACCCCCCCCTCCCCGCGCAAGTGTACCAGCAACCCCCCTCCTCCCCTCGCAAGTGCACCAGCAACCCCCCCCCTCCCCTCCCAAGTGCACCAGCAACCCCCCCCCCCCCCTCCCCGCGCAAGTGCACCAGCAACCCCCCCCTCCCCGCGCAAGTGCACCAGCAACCCCCCCCCCCTCTACCTTGCCCGGTGCAACATCTCTAGGAGTTGTTCCCTCTTCTGTAGAAGAAGCTGAAAAACTGCAATGTTAAAAAAGTCTTCAATAGGGCAACTGAAAATATCACGATGTTTAACGGTGATAAGTTCCAGGTATTGTGGAAACGAGGAACTTAAACGAATCATAGGGTACAGGACAATCAGACCTACTCAAGGAAGGAAAGCAACATGTAAAAGATCTGGGAATTATGATGTCTGACGACCTTAAAGTTAGTGAACATAACCGAGCCAATATAACGGCGGCCAGAAAAATGATTTGATGGATTATGAGAACGTTCAAATCCAGAGACTCCACAACAATGCTTATATTATTAAAGTCGCTGGTGCTGTCTCGTTTTGAGTATTGCTTGGTTCTCACTTCCCCTTTCAGAGCAGGAGAAAATCTGTGAATTAGAGGGAATACAGAGATCATATACGGCACGCAGAGACACACGGTAAAAACATTAAATTATTGCCGTCTCAAAGCTCTCAAAATGTTATGTTTGGAAAGGAGACGAGAAAAGTATCATAATATTCACATGGAAGATACTTGAAGGCCAGATTCCAAATTTGCTCAGTAGAATAACATTTAATTTATTTATATACATGAAGGTCCATTGAGTGAATACATACTGGAACATGCATATATACAGGAACGAAGGTACGAAAGGAAATGCAGAATTGAACCAATGAAAAATAAAGGTGCCATAGGCACAATCAGAAAAGACTGTCTGAACATCAGAGGTCTACAGCTGTTCAACATCCTCCCAATAAGCATTAGAAATTTTTCCGGAAGTAGGCGACTTATCTAAGATGCACTTAGATAAGTTCTTGCAAGAAGTGCCGAACTAACCAGGCTGTCGTAGATATGTGGGCCTGCGGGCTGCTCCAAGCAACAGCCTGTTGGACCAAGTTATCACAAGTCAAGCCTGGCCCCAGGCCGGGCTCGGGGAGTAGAACTCCTCCCAGAACCCTCTCCAGGTATGCTACCCAGTTCACCGACCTCCGGAGGGTTCAACGAGTACTGAGGTATTCACCAATTTGAATAAATTGCTTCGACACCTATCGCCATTTGATATTTTAAGAACCCAATTTGTATCTCACATAATTAATATTGAACTTATTCATTCCATGTTTCACTTCAATAAATCTCTATCCGCCCTTTATTTTACGTGTTTCGAGAATAAAAATATATACATGCCCTTTAGTTGCTGTTTATAAGAAACTGCTAATGCATAGGATTAACTTTTAGTCATCCTTGGTTGTAAACACTGAATACAATTAAAACCGGGTTTCCAGCACTATGATTAGCACCGTTACATAATTATTTAAATGACGCCTCGCTAGAGCAAAGGAAACTATAGCCTCATAACACTTCTAGTTATATTCTAGTGCCTTATAGAGCCTAAACTGTGACCTCCAAACACCAACGTGATTTTACCGAGTGATAATCCTGCTTGACCAACTTACTGAGGCTCTATGACACAATAACCTGTAGGCATGTTCAGGCGAGAGCTCTCCTCAACCATTATGCAAGAATCTAGTTATACTTGCAGATAGGCTGTGTGATCCAGGAAGCTGTGAGTGGACGTTTTGCATGAGGAAACTGTTGGGGCCGACGACTCCCCAGTTACAAATGTAGCTTGATTAATTAGCACTGATCACAACTATTAATGCACACTATTAACAACACCTTATTTGCTGTTGAACACAGCAACGACCAATCACAGAGTCGCTGTTTCAAGATTTCTATACAGGTTTCTGTCATGGTATCATAATTTATATATCTATTTATATTACATTTATATATGCACGTGTTGTCGAGAACATAAATGTTTCGAAAAATGAACAAATAGCAGAACGCCACATTATTTACGTCACAATTCAACCATCACTTTTTGTCTCGATCCGGGAGAAGCGACTTACAACGACCCGTCAACTGTTTCTTAACACCAGTATCACTGAACGACGCTTCCAATGCGCAGTAAAGCGTGTGGTCCTTTCTGAGGAAGAGAACTGGCAATGTTGGGTGTCGTCCCCCCCCTGGTCGGACACTGCGCACCGGGTGGGGTGGGTCGGACAAAGCGCACTGGGTGGGGGTGGGCGGGACTCAGGGGTGGGCCGCACACAGCAACACGGCGTCCCTGGCCCGCAAGGGGTGTTACTTTCACCTCTGGGGTGCAGGAGCGTGTGTGTGTGTGCGCGGGTCCCCGCCGCTGCCTCGCCATGCCATGCGCTCCACTAGTTGCCACACTCTTCCATCTCCCCTCCACTTATTCTACTTTATAAGGCATTATGCTAATGTCTATAACAATATATAGGTATCATTACGTATATTTTGTTTATGAAACAGTTTAAAATGTTCAAATCTCGCGGGGAATGTCTTTTTTTTCGGTTTAAGAAATAAACATAAAATTTCGGTATGTTAACATTGCAATGTTTACATAACATATCCAGGCCAATCCAACACGAAACTTAGCCAGACAACTAATAATAAATATAATATAGCGGTTATCCATATAACAATATAAAAACAGACATATCAAGGAGTGAAGACTATATAACAATGCTAACGTATATATAACAATTTGATTTAAGTACGAGTTGGCAACACACCTCCGACCACACGTGCAAAATAATAAACTCCTGCCATTTCTTAACATTTGGTCATAAATATTTGTCAACCATATTCTGTAGTGGATATCTGTTTATTATCCATCTTAACCCCCGCTGATATCCCATTAAATGGTCCAAAATGAGACGGAATTATCTACACACTTCAGACAATAATACTTCCACCATTTGTAACTTGGCTACTCGCGTGTAGAAAGTCGATATATTTGGAAAACCGATATAAGTTACTGAAAAATATAACTACTGGCTCGTCTCTGCTAATGTTGTAGCTTAGAACTTAAGCTATATAGAGAGTGTTATATTGGCTCGCTAAAATTACCTAACACACACCAGCTCCAGAGGCACGTGCATCTTAGCTAAGTCTGGGTAATGGTCGTCATCTCAAGAGTCGTAGTTTCCACTACTCATCTAGTCGTGCGAGCAGGCAACTAAAAAACTAGAAAACTGATGATAAGGTCGTGGTGTCTGATGGTAAGGTCGTGGTGTCTGATGGTAAGGTCGTGGTGTCTGATGGTAAGGTCGTGGTGTCTGATGGTAAGGTCGTGGTGTCTGATGGTAAGGTCGTGGTTTCTAGAGGCAAGTTTGTAATCTTTAGATTATGGCACCAGTTGTAAGGTCGGGCGTCCAGTTGTCCACTCGGGGCCTCTAAGAGGTCTTCATGGATCTCTAATGACCTTGTCAGTATCTCCAATGACTGGACTCTGTGTCAGGAGCTCAAGTGACTGGGCTCTGTGTCAGGAGCTCAAGTGAATCTGTTGAAGTCTCACTTAGACCTGGAGTGACCTCAAACGATTATATCAGGAGAAATCTACTCTCCCTCTTGGTCCTGTTGTTGACGAAGTCCTGTCAGTGGATCTAATTGGTCAATCTGAGGACCTAATCAGTTTGTCGGAGGATATAATCGGACTGTCGGAGAATCTTATCGGTTTGTCGGAGGATCTAATGAGTGTGCCGACAAAACTAATCGGTCTATGAGATGATCTAGAGAATCTGTCGTAGTCTCCCTGTTTTAGAATTAAATATTTTCTATAAATGATCCAGCTGTAACACTGGATATGTCGGAGGTTCCATCAGGAGTGTTGGAAACTAAGGTTAATGTTTCAGAAGTGGTTTACCCTTAACCAAACAATCATTTTCTGACGTTAGGGAACAACGGTTCTACCTTAACGGAGATAAGATAAGCTAACGTAAGTTTATAAGGGTTGACAAATGTTAATCTTCTTGTTTGATAAGCTGTTCACTTGAGACAGTTAAGCAAGTCCCAGCTGTGTCTGGGTACAAGTGACAGGATGAACAACCCAGCGGGTTTTCTTCCTATTGGGGAGTGTTGTACATGCTGCTATGGCGGTGTGTTCACTCACAAGATGAGTGGCGCTGCCCAATACTGTCACTATGGCGGTGTGTTCACTCACAAGATGAGTGGCGCTGCCCAATACTGTCACTATGGCGGTGTGTCCACTCACAAGATGAGTGGTGCTGCCCAATACTGTCACTATGGCGGTGTGTCCACTCACAGGATGAGTGGTGCTGCCCAATACTGTCACTATGGTGGTGTGTCCACTCACAGGATGAGTGGCGCTGCCCAATACTGTCACTATGGCGGTGTGTTCACTCACAAGATGAGTGGCGCTGCCCAATACTGTCACTATGGCGGTGTGTCCACTCACAGGATGAGTGACGCTGCCCAATACTGTCACTATGGCGGTGTGTCCACTCACAAGATGAGTGGCGCTGCCCAATACTGTCACTATGGCGGTGTGTCCACTCACAGGATGAGTGGCGCTGCCCAATAAACTCGCCCCTCGGGGCAAAACTTAAATTTAAAATTTACTGTTTCCTGGATTGTACTACACATACATGTATTTTTTTTTTTTACATAATTCTATACCTATGACAAATTTTCCCAATTATAAGGCTGTTTAATTATTGATATAATCCCGGACGTGCTTAGTCCCAGATTATATAAATTAGATTTGTTAAACTAATTTATATAAGTTCCGGATTAAATAATTAAAATTATTTCATTTAATTCTTTATGAAATCCGTGAGAGCAGAACATTTATTAGATAATTCACTTCTTTTGATAAATGAAAATAAAATATTGTTTCTCTCAGTAACTGATTTACACTTCTTAGCTTTGCAACAATTAGTCCAGTCAACTGAATGATTACAATCTCTTAGGTGAACAAATAATGCATTGGACTCTTGACCTGTTCTTATACTATATTTGTGTTCTTTTGTTCTTTGTACCTGCCTGGTGTGTGTGTAGGTGGCAGGTACACATACCACTGGTGTACCTGCCTGGTGTGTGGAGGTGGCAGGTACACACACCACTGGTGTACCTGCCTGGTGTGTGGAGGTGGCAGGTACACACACCACTGGTGTACCTGCCTGGTGTGTGTGTGGAGGTGACAGGTACACACACAACTGGTGTACCTGCCTGGTGTGTGTGGAGGTGGCAGGTACACACACCACTGGTGTACCTGCCTGGTGTGTGGAGGTGGCAGGTACACACACAACTTGTGTACCTGCCTGGTGTGTGTGTGGAGGTGGCAGGTACACACACAACTGGTGTACCTGCCTGGTGTGTGTGGAGGTGGCAGGTACATACACCACTGGTGTACCTGCCTGGTGTGTGGAGGTGGCAGGTACACACACTACTGGTGTACCTGCCTGGTGTGTGTGGAGGTGGCAGGTACACACACAACTGGTGTACCTGCCTGGTGTGTGTGTGGAGGTGGCAGGTACACATACCACTGGTGTACCTGCCTGGTGTATGTGGAGGTGGCAGGTACACATACCACTGGTGTACCTGCCTGGTGTGTGGAGGTGGCAGGTACACACACCACTGGTGTACCTGCCTGGTGTGTGGAGGTGGCAGGTACACACACCACTGGTGTACCTGCCTGGTGTGTGTGTGGAGGTGACAGGTACACACACAACTGGTGTACCTGCCTGGTGTGTGTGGAGGTGGCAGGTACACACACCACTGGTGTACCTGCCTGGTGTGTGGAGGTGGCAGGTACACACACAACTGGTGTACCTGCCTGGTGTGTGTGTGGAGGTGGCAGGTACACACACAACTGGTGTACCTGCCTGGTGTGTGTGGAGGTGGCAGGTACATACACCACTGGTGTACCTGCCTGGTGTGTGGAGGTGGCAGGTACACACACTACTGGTGTACCTGCCTGGTGTGTGTGGAGGTGGCAGGTACACACACAACTGGTGTACCTGCCTGGTGTGTGTGTGGAGGTGGCAGGTACACATACCACTGGTGTACCTGCCTGGTGTGTGGAGGTGGCAGGTACACACACTACTGGTGTACCTGCCTGGTGTGTGTGGAGGTGGCAGGTACACACACTACTGGTGTACCTGCCTGGTGTGTGTGGAGGTGGCAGGTACACACACCACTGGTGTACCTGCCTGGTGTGTGTGGAGGTGGCAGGTACACACACCACTGGTGTACCTGCCTGGTGTGTGTGGAGGTGGCAGGTACACACACCACTGGTGTACCTGCCTGGTGTGTGTGGAGGTGGCAGGTACACACACCACTGGTGTACCTGCCTGGTGTGTGTGGAGGTGGCAGGTACACACAACCACTGGTGTACCTGCCTGGTATGTGTGGAGGTGGCAGGTACACACACCACTGGTGTACCTGCCTGGTGTGTGTGGAGGTGGCAGGTACACACAACCACTGGTGTACCTGCCTGGTATGTGTGGAGGTGGCAGGTACACACACCACTGGTGTACCTGCCTGGTGTGTATTGAGTTACATGGGCACTTAGGACCACTTATCAGTGGGCTGAAACACCTACTGTTTAATGTGGTAGTTACGTCCACTCGCCAGATCTCAGGTGAGCTGTTCCACTTGCGAACACTGAACCCCCGCTACAGATGCCGTTGATGATAACAATGTTTGGTCTCCCGGTGATGATAACATCCTTAATAACAGATAGGTTATCTCACTAAAGGCGCCTTCACCGCGGCCTCAGGCTACTGTATCCAGCTCCACGCCACGCTCCGTATTGTATGGGGCTGATGTATTGCGCTGATGTATGGGGCTGTGCGCAGTATTTGTATGGGATTTATGTTGACAATGTATGAATAAGAGAGATATACACATATAAGGGTACTCAACACTATCGGGGGAACGTTCTGATTGGCGGGAGTTAACCCAATATTATTGTGAACGACAGGTCGACCTGTCGGGGTTCAGTCACACTTTGGAGTCGTCGTTTCTTTCCTAATTGTAAACAAATAATTCGTTTTGTCGGGGACAGGAAGCCTGTGAATATGTACTTATGGTTTGTATCGCCATCTGAGCAGTAGAGTCTAAGGAGTACTGCTTGGAGTTAACTGGATTCACTTTCAGTCGCTAAAGTACCTTAAGGTCCTTACATACCAAGTCCTATTTACATTCGGTCACACTCACACTTCACCT